GATGTTCCATACAGGCAGCTGGTGACAGGACAGGGGACAGTGGCTTTTAACTGAGACCACCCTCCAGGGAACAATTCCTTCCCAATATCCCATCCAGCCCTGCCCTCTGGCAGTGGGAGCCATTCCCTGTGTCCTGTCCCCCCATCCTTGTCCCCAGTCCCTCTCCAGCTCTCCTGGAGCCCCTTTAGGCTCTGCCAGGGGCTCTCAGCTCTCCCTGGAGCCTTGTCCTGTCCAGGTGAGCACCCCCAGCTCTGCCAGCCTGGCTCCATCTCAAAGCTGCTCCATCCCTCTGATCAGAATGGATATTTCTGTGATGTTTGCAAAGGATATTCCAGCATTCCACAAAGAGACATAACATCAGTTTAGGTCAACTGCTTGTCATCAGCTGTCCCAGCAGCCACTGAATAGCTCCCAACCTTTTCCCTTCCCCTCCCCTTGGGCCCCTGGTGCAGTGCTGAGATTTGCTGTGCTGCCTCAGTGTCAGGGACCAAAGTGGCTCAGGGACACACCTGAGCTCTTTATTTTGTGCTTTTTATTTGTGTTGGGACTCCTGCAGCTCTGCCTGGGCCCCTCTTCTGCACTGCACGTGCTACTAAGCACAAATAATTCAAATAAATGTTTGCTTTGTTGGAGGTGCCTTGCCATGCTGGGAACGTGCCCCTTGTCTTGCTGGCATTGCAGCTGCTTTCCTTCCAAAACCAGGCCAGCAAAAACTGGCATGAGGCTTTTAATTTGGTTCTAGCATGATGATGGCAAAAGAAAAAGGTTATATAATGATATGGATGGCAAGTCCTTTGAAACTTCACTTCCTTGCATTTTCCAGGGTAATTATTCTGTCTCTGCTAAATCTCCAGGCGAAACTTTCCAGGAATTAATATTCCTTTGCATTTGCCTTTGTACTGTGAAAGACAATATTTAGGTCCTTCCTCAGGGATGGAAAAAAAGAGTTGTAATGGAGACCAGAGCAAAATAAAACCTCCCACAGATTCAGAGAGGGAGCAGCATCCCAGAATCGCTCACATGCTGTTAGCAGCTTTCCTTGTTTGAGCCTGGAGCCCAGGATGGAGCAGTGATTCTGGGAAATGCCTTTCCCTCCGTGTGAGAACACGATTGTTGTGCTGAGCTTTGCAGAGCCAGCTTCTCCTCTCAAAGATAGGAGTGAAACCTTTGCACGTGGAGCCCGATTTGTGCCTTGCTTTCGGCACAAATTAAAAGTGGCTACAGGCTGAATAAATGGTGAATAAATGGTTTACCTCAGCCGGCCCTGGCAGCCTTTGTGAGAGCAGGGTTTTAGTCTGTGCAGAGTCCTGTTAATGTGTGCCTGGCAGGGAGGTGGGGCATGCACAGAGAAAGGTGGGGAAATCGTTACCTAAAATAATGAGGGGAAGTGGGAATAAAAGACGCAGTGCAAAGTAATCGTGTTGGTTAAAGCAGAAATTATTTGACGTCTGAGAATTTTCAGCTCTTCTGGGATCTCTTCTGCTTTTCTACAGTGGAGATTTAACACCTGTATGGGAAGCAAAAGAGCCCTTAAGAGGCCCAATCTGTGCACTGGAGTGGAATTTAATCTTCAGCTCAAATCTCTGTCTGGAGAAGACTGGAAGTGTTCCTGATTCCAGTGGAAGGTGGCTCTGCCCATGGCAGGGGATGGGGAATGAGGAAACCTTTAAGGTCCACTTCAATCTAAACAATTCTGTGAGTCTATGTTAATAAAATTAATTATTAATTATTAAAATATGAATTATTAATTCCTGTAAACCCATTTGAGGACCAAGAATTTGGGATTTACATGGACAATGAAAGGCTCTGCTCTGTGAGGACCAGAAGTTTTGCCCTTTGCAGGGTTTGACACTTGAGTGGTGTTGAGGAAGAATCTTCAACCCAAGACCTTTCTGTGGGAATTTTGAATTGGGGAAAATGTTCAGGGAGCAGGAAAAGGAAACCCCTCAACCTTGGTTTCACACCAACCCTGAAACCTGCCCAAGATGTCAGGGAATAACTAAACTTAAGCAGAATCATGTGTACTAAGGCTAAACATATATTCAAGACTAGACATAAGCATTGTGTATTCAGATTCTCCAATTATTCCACTTGTGTTGCTCATATTGGAATGAATATTCCATTGAAATGGACTTTGTAGTCGTTTTCCAAAAAAATGTGAGGGACTGACCAGGTCATATCATTGCAATGACACCACAGGCTTAACTTTTACAACAATGAACTGAAACAGACTTTTTAAAACATTAATTTTATATGAAAAAATAGCTCATGCCAAGTCATTTATCATAATCACATTTCATTAACAGTAAAGTTAACAAAATCACAATATACAGATTTAGTATGTATTTATTTATATATGTCACTTTGTAATAACCATTAACTCTATGTAATAAAAATATATTACAACATTTGATATGTATCCACAAAGCACAAGCCATTGTAAACAGAACAGACAGCACAGGCCCCATTATTCAAAATCTGAACTCAGGAATAATAATTATTTTGTTGTATTCCTTTAAAATGTAGACACAGGATTTTAATTGTCTGCCTTTGCATTAATGGATTTGTTTCTCTGGAATATCTCTTAGGAGACTCTCAGATTTAGCTTGCCTGGGACCCTAAAATCCATGTTAACTCATGGCACTCTTGAGTGTGTTGTCATTACAAAGAGGTCTGTGCATCCCTTTATCCATGCAATCCAGAAAGGTTTGATTTATATTCCCATTTTCCCCCTAAATAAATAACCCCTGTAATTACACCCCATTGTTATACAAAAGACTTAAATGCAATAAATTATAGTGGAATATTTATAATCAAACATGCCCTATCTACAGCAGCTATTAATGTTTTTTCATAACTATTTTCCTTCAGACTGGATCTAGGTGCTTTTAGAAATAGGAAACCATCTATTTTCAATATTTGCAAAACAAAACAAAATACTTTAAATACACAGACTGAGCTTTTTGTACCTCTCATGAAATGAATGGTCCTTACTCACCCAAGCAACCCCACTGCCCTTGCAGCAAGGAGTTGTAAAACCAGCTCCTAACAATTTTTTAAAAATCAAATAATCTTCTAATAGTGTAATCTAGGGACAAAGGTTTATATCCACCTGTATCTGGAAGGACAGGTAATAGGTTACATTCCTGCAAGGATTCAGAAGGGAACGATTTGTGATTGCCAAACATATGGAAATTTTAAACCTAAAATAATCTTCAAAAATAAAAACGCTGTGAATAAAATTTCTAAGGATTAGAAAAATGCCCTGTGTATAAATAAAGTTAATCAAGGCACCTCTTAGTTACCTATTTCTATTTTCCAAGGCAATATGTGATAATCGTTTTCAAATATCTTATCTGGGAAGCCCTATGGTTTCTGCTATAAAAAGACCCATTCTTTAGTCTGGCTGATGCAGGTAGCTTTATTTTACTTGAATGAGGCTGGGCACAAAGCACAGAGAACTGGTCCCCAACCTTGTCACATATTTGCTGTGTCACCCTGAGGGCACCGAGCATTTTACTGACTTTTTCCTCACAAAAGTCACTCAATTAATGAAATTTCTTCCTTTGTATTTTTTTCCTTCTGTTGGTCATTGATCCCATTAGCAAAACAGGAGGAGAATTTACCTGTCTGTGCACAAGGGTTTAATGGTCAGGAGGGAAATTAAAACACTTTGGTATCTGACAGGGCTTTTTAAAGTTTTTGTTCCAGAGCTCAGAATAACACAAGTGCAATACAGAGCAGTGGGATGGGCAGAAAGGGGAAGGCTGCAGCCAGTTCTGCACCATGGACCTGCTGCATTCCCACTAACATCTCACTGGGATGCTCTGGCATTTCATTAAAAAGCACTGGATCCAAATCCCAAGGGAATGGGGAATTTTTATTTTTTTGCTCTTTGCATGACGTTTTAAAAAGGTTTGTTTTAAAGCTCTAATTGTAGAACTACAGTGACTAGAAAACAGTTTTTAATGCCAGAAACATGGAGAGGAACTTTGGACGAGAGCAAGAGGTGACAGGACAAGGGGAAATGGATTCAAACTGACAGAGAGTGGGTTTAGATTGGATATTTGGGAGAAATTATTCCTGGGAGGGTGAGCAAGCCCTGGCACAGGGTGCCCAGATTTGCTGTGGCTGCCCCTGGATCCCTGGCAGTGCCCAAGGCCAGGTTGGACATTGGGGTTGGAGCAACCTGGGACAGTGGGAGGTGTCCCTGCCATGGCAGGGGTGGGAATGGATGGGATTTAAGGTCCCTTCCAGCCCCAAACCCCTCCATGATTCCATGACTCAGTAATAATTCCAAATGGAAATCCTTTTCCTGACATGACTGTGTGTGTAAATAATCAGCCATATGGATTTGTGCCTTTGGGTATATCGAAACCATGTGAAATAGCATTTCTTCAACAACAACAAAAAAATTTAAAAATTTGTTATTTTACTCCACAGTTGCCATCCCTGCTGTCACAGCCCTGACGATTTTGCTTCTTGGCACACACATCTCTGAAGGGCACTTAGAGCCTGTAGGGTTAATTCTCCTTCTTAGAAATACAGACATTTATGATAAACTACAGCAACTTCTCCAGTTCGTTAGATCAGCAGTGTTTGCTTAAAAACCAACAATCCTAAATACATATTTACACCAAACACACCAGGAGTACAGGTAAGAAGCTGACATTTTACAGACTGCAGCAGCTCTTTTCTCCATGTAAACTTTTATACCCTCCCAACAGAGACAGCTGCCTTTTGGAGCAGGATGGTTTTCCTAAAAAATAAACTTAACCCATTGAAAATGTTCACTATATTGAACGGTGAAAGCATAAAAAGCAAATTAGAAATAAATAGATTTAAGGCTATGATGTTGTTATTCTCACTGAGGTCTGGGGAGGTGACAAAGATATAATCCCTGATTCTGCAGACACAAAATCCTGTGCTCAGCCCTCACAATCCAGCAAAGCAAACACAGTGACTCTGGGATCAGGATCTAACTGAACTTTCTGTGCTGATCAGTGATTTTTAGAGGCAAGGAACAAGGAGCTGACAGAGGTGTGAAGTCTCTGTCTTTGCTTTTAAGCTTTGTTTAATCACAAGAACACTGAGTGTGGGGCGATCTAAGAACAGTGAAAAGCATTTTCCAAAGGGTTGTTCCAGAGATATTCACTGTGCACATAAAAATGTGTAGGACAAGATATTCTGAGGATTCATTTAGGATTGAGAGGTGAGGGAGCTGTGAAACCTTAGGCATGTAGGTCCAGAAAAATTCACATTCTGCAAGTGACCTAAAGCTCTTGGAATTAAGAATTAAACCTGGTCATTCAAACATGAGTAGTTTCCATATAAACCATCTGAAAACCATGAGAGTCTTCCCAAACCCAAAAGGATCCTTCTGTGGCAGCTGCCAGCCTCAGCCCAATCTGTGGCACAGCCACGGGGCTTTGACAGGATTTTCACCTTTTTCTTTGGAATGAGGGAATGTCTGAGAGACCTGGAGAGCTCTCAGGGTGGGAACAGGGCACTGGGAAAACCTCACTGCAGCCAGGGAATCCCAAATCTTTGCCAGTTTGCACTTCCCAGCCTCCCTGACCCTCAGCTTCCCATTCCCACCCAGCCCTGCCTCGCTTTTGGAACCCCTTAAAGATGTTCTGATACAGCTGTTTTTTTTGAAGTTTAGTCTGAAATATATTCTCAAAATTATTTTTTAAAAAATATCCTTGCCAGAAGATTTTACTGTTGTCCTGAAGCAGACCAAGATCATTTCCTGGATGCACTGGCAAAACTGAGAGGGTAAATCACTGCCAGAGGTAGGCATGTGGCTTTTGGGGGCTTTTGGGGGCTTTTGGGGGCTTTTTGAGGTTCCTTCCAAACTCAGCTGGTCTGGGATGCTGTGGTATGTGTGGCTACAGCTGCAGCAGTCATCAGGCTCCATAAGGATTTGTCTGGAGCATTCTTAATCTCTAGGTTTTTGGGGTTTTTTTCAGACATAAGGGAAATTCAAAAACGTCTGATTTAGGGTTGAAAAGGTTTTTAGGGTCATCTACTCGAAGTGTAAGAACAGGGATAGAACTTAATTAGTTCTGTGGTTGCCTGACATTGGAAGTGAGCACTTGCACATCAGAGGAACTCCCTAAATCCTGTTTACAACTTTCCATTTGTAAATACCACAAAAACAGGGCCCTACACATAGAGAAGGGATCTATAAAGCCTGGATGAAGTCTTCTAATTGACCCAATCCTCAGGTGAAATCACCATTATTTTGATTTATGCCAAGAGAGAGCCTGGTACTTAATAATTGTTCAACAAACCCTTATCAGTCTCTCATAATTTTTGCCAATTGCAATTACCCAGATATTCACATTCAGACTGGCTCGAGAGCATAACAGAAAGCAGGATCACAGTTCACAGTTAGGGCTCTGAAATGATGCAGAAAACCATTAAAATGAACAAAGGGAAAAGCTCAGAATCCACAAAACAACGTAGTGGACCACATTCTCTTAATCATCTGCCAGTGCTCTGCCTGCCAAATTTACAAAGACATGAAGGAAATGTTAATTGAACATGCGTGTGAGGAGTAGCTCTTGCATATGGGTCACAGACACAACAAACAGAAAATGCATATTGCCGAAGCAGCTGCCCAGATTTTGCACATGCAGCTCCAGATTTTGGGCACGGGTTGCAGCCAAACTTTACAAACTTTTTCAAAAATATTGAAGTAACAAATGGAAATTTCCCCACCCCCTCCCCCTTGCACACACATGTGTTAGACAAGAGAACAGCTCTGCTTCATGGGCAGAGAGAATAAATACTGTGCATTACATTTACCAGCATTATTTTAACTCACTCGAATCAGAGTGTTGTATAGTACATATAATACTCAGCAGACAGATAGTTACTCATATCTACATTCATCACTGAGACACACATTTTAGAAAATTTTGCCAGTTGCTTATAAGAATTCAGCTGAAAATCTAGCACTTAACAAGCCACAGTATCATATTTTGAGTATCCTATAAAATGTCATCAGGAAATGTTGGGGTGGTATTTTTATTTCGTGTACTGAGGCAGTTTGTCAAGCACCAGCATTTACAACTCCTGCTTGCTTCAGATGGTCAAAATATGACAGAGAGCTGATGCAAGGAAGGGGAAATTATATCTATTCTCTGTTATAAGATTAATTATAGAAGAAAGGCACCATGAAAGAGAGACAAATTTTTAAACACATACAAGGGGAGAGATTTATTGCTCATGGTGGGATATAAATCAACCAGTGACTGACTGTGATACACAAGCATAATGAGACAAGTCCAGTGCTGTATTCTCCATCTTTTACTAGACATCCTAAGTGGATTATGTTGGGTTTTTTTTCTCCTGGGAAATTAGCTTACTCTCTTTGAATTTGAAGGTTTAAATGTTTCTGGAGCTGCCCTTATTGACATACAAACCTCCCACTGACTTTGGCATCAGCTCCATATTTAAGTTTCCAACAGCTGTGGACTTTTCTGGTGCAATTTAAGTCAAACATGCTCAATATGGAGCTTTTTATTTTTTTGACTCAGTAATAATCAACTTTCTAACATCCTGTATTCTAATACAATCCAATCATCAATATGTGTTCAAATAAACATTGAACTGGGTGTTTTTATCTATTGCACCTGAGAAAATTATGTTAAGCCTAAAAAGCAAAATGATTAAGATGAGGTAGACTATTTAATCTGGCTAAGGGCTCATTTGAATGCAGTGTTTTAAATGTTAATTTAAGCTTTCCTAAATTCTGTGGCTATAATTATGTGTGGATTTTATTGTAATTATGGTATTTTTAATGACTGAAATTAAGAATTAAGCTGAATTTTTTTTATTTACATCGTAGCTGATAACCTTTGGATAATAACTGAGGTGTTACCCCACATTCACTGACTTTGGGGTGAAGCCCCTCACTGAGTCCCCAGTCTGGGCTTTTTATCAGACGCCAGAAAATTCAACAGTGGACATTTTTTGCAACATGCCAAGCCCTTTTCTTTCATGAGAGAAGGTGGCTACTAAAAAGTAATCCCATATTTTTTACACCTTGAGGTCTTGTTTCCTCAGAATGTCACTGACAGCTGGAATATGAGCAGGGATAGATGGCAGTACAGCCAGTTGTGTCAGCTGTTCTTGAAGCTGCCATTGCATTCAAGAAGCCTAATTAACCAAGCCCATTTTAAAATCTGGGCAGGCATCTCAGTGCATGGTAAATGTTAATAATGTTCCTGTGCAGAACTGCAATCCAGAGCTATAAAGACTTGTACTGACACCTCCAGAGATTTGCACATTCAGATGTGGATTCAGATTATTGGCTCCACTTTCGTGGTGGAGAGGGGGGCCTATTATTTGTGCTCCATTTGCTTTGGAAATTATACTTGAAACTCAGATTTAGGCTCATCTTTCCTTTAAGTAGGAAAAAAACCCATGATTAATAACTCCTTCAAAAAGAGATTTGTTATTTTTCCTCCCGGGCACAGGGCCCAGATCTGCAGCTTTGGGCAAAATCCAGCTATTCAGAGCTCAGATATATGGAAGGTAGGCAGGAGGCATCCTGACCTTTCCACCCTGTCTACCATTTGTCTTTTCCTGCAATTTAATGGAGAGAATATTAGTGGGATTCTATGTGAATAACTTTAAAAATTTAGAGAAGGCATGGCTGAATCCAGCACACTCCAAAAGTGGTTTTCATCTTCCTTCAATTCTATGAGATTCTTCCTAAAATATATATCAGAAATGGTTGAACTGCATTGGGCGCTGGATGAATATTTAGATTTTTTTTTTTAAGCTTTTCCCATGAAGATATTTTCTACACACGACCTTCTCAAGCCACTAGGGTGGGGTGGTTTTTGTAAAGCCACGTTGGCAGCTACATCAGAGGGAGCTTTACCTGCAGCCAATGACAAACACACCACAAATATCCCTGTGCAGCTTTTCAGAACAATCTTACACCAGCAGCAGTTTGCTCCCATTCCCTTCACAACTCCCTCTGCTGAGGACTAGTTTGTTATCTGTAGATGCAGCTGCTGATGGGAATCAATGGGAGATTTGTATTTGTGGAGCCTGCAGGACCACGGATCAACAACGCTCTTCCAGTCAGAGGGAGGAGATCCAGAGCAGCCTGGATGTTACTGTGGGCTACTGGAGGGACTGGGCTTCACCCTGCCCACAGCTGCCTCCCAAAAGCTGGACAGCTGAGCAGAGCTCCTGGGGATGGGCCAGCTCCTGTGGTGTCACAAAGATCAGGTCCCTTAGAGGCTCCTCACTCGCTGAGCTGCGGGAGGCTCCGGCTGCGCGCCGAGGAGTTGATGGAGCTTCTCTTGAGCAGCTTGTTTAGGATGTCCTTCCACGTCTTCTTGTACTGGTGCCGTAGCAAAGAGTACACAAAAGGGTCTGAGACAGCTTTGCTGTAAGCTAAGCACTTGGAGATGATCCCCCAGTGGGAGTTGATGTGGACCACAGAGGATAATTCAACAAGTCTGGGGAAAGAGGGAGGGTGAAAGAGTGAACATTGAAAATTACATTTACCCACCCCAAACCCTCAAATTATTGCTGGGCAATTGCAACAAAACTATAGAAAAGAAATCCCTACTTGTGAAAATATGTATGTTGTCCTCCTCTCATAAATTTTAAAGGCTGCAAATGTAAACTTGGGGCCTGTTTGCCAAAGTGACGTTGCTTGGTCTCACGAGAGTCAAATTCCTCTACCATGAGCAACCTAAAAACCCAGTATCAGTCTGAACTTGTGGTTCTTGGTCCCCTCTAGAGCATCTGAGTCACCTCACCAGGCCTGCCCAGCTCTCTTGGCCAGTCCAGCCCCTAGAGAGAGTTCAATGCCTTTAACCTGTTTGTCTGTAGAGTTGTAGAACCACACAAGGAAAATTCATCCCTGAGAGATGGATCGTACCTGGAATTAAAAAACTGGCCTGTTCAAAGGGCAAGGATTCACTCTTGCACAAATTTAGCAAAACTTTTAAATAATTAGGGGAGGAGGAGAGGGAAGAGCTGCATATACTGCTCATACCTAGCCCAGATAGTTCACTGTGTACTGATAGAGAGCATTTTTGACAGGGAAATATTGATAACTCCTCACGTCTTTGAGCAGCATCAAAGGGCAGCTCTGTTCAATATGCCTCTATAGCTGTTAAAACTATTGATTTTTATAGAGGTCAAACAGCCACGTGTGCTGTTGCAGAGCCCCACATGGCAGATCAGATCTTTGCTGGACCTGTCTGCAGCAGCAGATTTTCTTAAATCTGCCTGGGAAATACTTCAGTGGCTCACATTTCTCCAGACAAGGAGCATCCTGAAGGGTGGTTCCTGCAGCAGCAATGACAGCAGTGTTGGTATTTCAAGCAGTTTAGAGATGAGGACTTTTTTTCCTCAACCATTTTATTCCCATTCCATAACCTTTGACAACAACACACATTTAAAATAACGCTGGCAGATGTCACGGTCCAGTCACTGTGAGGGACATTTCAGGTGACCAGGGAATGTCACATGGAAATACTTGGGAATTGTTTGTGCCACTCCTCTGGTGCTGCTTGGCTCAGCAGCTCTGAGGCCCCAGAGAACCCTCACCTGTCCCATTTCTCTCTCATCTCAATTAAACAAATGTTCTTTCCACCTCTCCATGTAATTCTTGGTTGTTATCTTTCCTACAAAGATCAGAACCGAGACATGATTTTCATCTGCTCGAGTTTCCAGGTGGTCTCATCTGGTGTATTCTCTCTTTAATGAAATGCAACTTATGGCATCCACGTTAACATGTTCTAAAATGAGAATTGACAATTTGGAAATTAATCATCTACTGAGTCATATTTGCTTTGTAATCTACCATGAGCCATCCTTGTTGTGCTCCACTTCATTTATTCGATGCCTACTTCACATTTTGAATTTCATCATGTTGGATTTCACTTGGATGATTTATTTTTACTGAGTGCTTTACAGATGTGAATTTGATTATGTTTAATTATATTCAGCGGATGCCTTGAATAAGCAAAATATGACAAATTTGTGTCTGAGGCTCTGTCAGTCAGTTCTATGAGACATTAGCAATCTCCATTTAAAGCACATCAAGTAGACACTTCAGGGTTGCAAGCCTAGACTTGCTAATTTTACCTTCATTGACTGATCTAATGAAAAACCTACACTTTTATTAACAAAATCTTAAATATTTTCCTTGCGTTCTGTAAGCTTCCTCGACATTTACACATTTTTCAATTCTCATGTATTATTTTTTATAGTAAATTAAGTTTGCTGTTATCAAGCAGCAAACACAGAAACGTAGCCAAACCCTGAGCTATGCATTTCTATTTCATGTACAAACAATTAAATGTCAGCCTTTCAAGGCATATCACAGGATTTATTGCCTTTGAAAGGTTTTGTTTCTCATTTGTGAGGCAAATTATATGCACAGCTTCCATTTTCATGAAACGTTTCAGCCTAAAAGAAGACATTTTCAGTGAAGGAACATTAATATTTCAGTGCTACCTGTAAATTAAATTTTACAGTATCAACTACATAATTCCCTGGCTTGCTTTCATAAGCCTCTCTTCTGCTGTCTGGTCTTCAAACCCTTTTTATTTCAAAGCTGTAAGCTCTTTTTCAGTGATATATTGTTCATATTTTAGAAGCTTATAAGTCTGTAGATTGTGTCATTTCACATGATTAGCCAATTATTTTATTTCCCCTTCAGTAAACAAACGAGAATGCCATGTTGAAGAGTGTGACCTTGATCTCTACACACAGAAAGCACACTGGAAATCCTTTATTTACATGTGCAGTTAATCACTACATTAAAATATTTTACTGAACGTGTGCCCACCCAGTTGGGATGCTGAAGAACACAAATTGCAGAAAAACTCTGAGCTTCCTGTGTGCCCAAGCAGGATCTGCATATGCAGAGGGCAAACAACAGTTTATAAACAGGGTTTCTTACCCTCTATCCCCCAGAGATGGGATAACAGAATTTTAATCATCTTCTGCCTGTTCCACCATCCACTTCTGTAACCTGAGGGCTTGGGACTATGAACTTCTGCCTGCTATTACTTCAGGATTTTTAATTTAAGGCCAATTTCCTCACACGTTGACAGCACTTATTAACTTACATGAGCCAAGTTCAGTATGAAATGCCTGGAGTTGGAAATGAATATTAGAAACTTGTATAACTTATCTTCATTTTTCTTATGAAAAAGTTCCTTGGAGAAAAGAGGTTTGGAGCAAGTATATTTAATTGCATAATGATAAATATAGCAAAGAAAGAGATGTGTACCAGTAGATTATTTCACAAAACAAAAAGCAAGCTATGCCTAGAAATGTCTAATGTGGGGGATTACACCTGTCATACTGGAAAAGTGGAAACACCAGATCAAAGACAATCAGAATCTGATACACTGCTTAAGGTCATCCACTGAACTAATTAGAAGGGTGTTTGCTTGATAAATTAAGTGCTGGAAAAAACAATTTGATTTTTACCTCAATGTGATCTGAAAAAGTCCAGTTTACCCAGAGAAGAATCTTTCTGTCTGGGGTCATGAGCACAACTCCTTCACTTGTTCATGGGATATTTTTAGTGTGGAAACAGGAAGATGTTATAGTAAAACCTTGTGATTTGCTGCTGTCAACCCCCAGCTCAGGGAGTGCTTAAAGCATGTTTAATTGAAATATATTGCTGATTCTCTCCTGACTTCTGTCCACAGCTCGAGCTGTGATTGATTGTGTCCCTCTAGAGAATGCAAAGCACTGGACCGAGTCCAGAAATTACAACTTGCTGACACAATAAAAATCCAACTCTCCCGATCCCCTCGGTGCCCAGGGAAGGCAGGGATGGGCTGGAACACCCAGCCCTGTGCAGAGAGCTCCCCTTCGCCTGCTGTGCACTGATCCTCTTGCACGTGTCACAACCTGAAAGGCCAGGAATGTGGGAGACTTCTCCCCTCCTGACATGTCTGACCAGCTCCCACCCTACCCCAAAAACTTCCTCGTGCATCCAGGAGCCTGCATTTGTCCTCTCCTCACCATCACCCTCTGTGGAGAAGCAGGAGAGCGTTCAAGTGATCCTTGTACAGACTAAAGGGAGGAGGCTCAGGATTTTTTTACTCCCCCTTCTGTATCCCCAGGCTACTGGGACACAAACTGGGATGCCACGGAGTGAAGAGGAGGTGAGGAAGGTGGTGCCTGAGTGCTGAGATGCCTTTGGAGGAGCACAAAAATACTCCTGGCAGCTCTGGTTAGAGCACTTGGTGTCACTCAGGATAAGCTGCCAGCTATTCTGTGACTGGGAGGATTTTCCTTAAGTTCAGAGACCCAATATGAAATTAAGTTTTAAATTAAACATGAAATTAAGTTTTCCTTAAGTTCAGAGACCCAGCATGAAATTAAAATTAACCATTTGCAAAAAGACAAATACTTTAATATCTTACAGCTTGAGAATTGAGGCTTAATGTCCTTTCATACCATTTAAGTACATGGCTTGCAGTGGTGTCTTGTGGCCACGAAGTGAAAATGAAGGTAATTCTAGAAAATTACTTTAATTTTATAATTCTGGAAATTCAGGGTATTATACTACATTGGAAAAGCTCAAGGTTGGCCAAATGTTCAATTATAATGACTCTTAATCAAGATTTTTCAATGATTTTTTCAAGGTGGATCTGGGTTTGACTGAGGCAAGCCCCACTAATTTTATTTTCTTTTACTTTACTTTACAGACCCACTTGAATTTTACTAATTTTTTATTTATACTTAATAGTATAAATATAATATAAGTAGAAATAGGAGATACCTTTTTTTTTTCCTTTCTCTGTTGTGCATAGCAGCATCTCAGCTTTTTCCAAAATCTTATAATAAGGAATGCAAGCTGTAAATTTCCTTCAACAAGCTAGATAACTTTTTTTCTGGATGTACTCACTTTCTAACACTTTTTATTTCATAGGAGAAATTCAGTGTTTCCCACAGGAGCCGTTTCCAAAGATAAGCTGGTGGATAGACATCTACCATAAATCATGAGAAAATTTTTCAGTTATGAGCCAGCACAGCTTTGATATTTGATATTTATGACTAATAAACCCTAACCAATCAGACAAAACTGTTGTTTAAGTCTGTGGACTATGTTCTCAGCTCAGCTGAATCTTGTTGATCAAATTTTTATGGTCTAAGCTATTCAGGAGAGTGTTTCCCTGGAGATCAACCCCTGGACTGGGAAGTCAATCAGAGCAGTAGGTGACAACGACAAAAAAAAATTTGGGAAACCTCATGGACTGACTTCCTAAATCCCTCCCATGCAAGCAGCATAGACTGGGCTGGGTGAGCAGAGTGCAGCAGGACTGAGTGGAGAAGCACTGTGACATTTCACATCATTTGCCAGCTCAGTAAAATCAGCCTCTGCCACAGATCTCCACAGCAGACTGGAATGCTGTTCTGGCTCAGAGTGCCCTACTTCCCTGAGTCAGGAGTGCATCTCAGCAGCCTTTGCCAGGATGCAGGTTCACACTCACCTGGTGATCACATAAGGTGCAAAGCAAAGAATGAAAGTTCCAATAAAGGTGCTTATTTTCTTCGTTGCCCGCTGCCTCCGCCTCCTCTGCTCTTCGAGACAACGCTCTCGCACGCTGTGTGACATTCAACACAAACAACGACATCAATCACAGCATCAGGCCACAATCTGCAATGGCTTCACCGTGGAATGATGGACAACAATCTGTTTTAATTGCACAAAGAACGGGCGCACTGCTCTTAAATGGGACGGCACCAAATATTAATGCATTGTCATCTTACCCTCCACAAAGTTACTGAGAAATACGTGGTTGTGTATTGGTGTGCACACACCCCCATTACATCAATTGTTCTATAGTAAAATTGGTGGAATTCATCCTTGAATTCACTTTGCAGCTCCTTTTTGAACTACTGTAAGCTGTATTTGCAGGCAAGACGATACTCAGAGATCTGGAAAATATCCAGAGTGGGATATTCCCACTTCTTCCTTAGAAACAGCAATTCCAACATCACTGCCTTGGAGAGGAGAAACCTCCCACCAAGATAACCAACAAAACAACAAAATCACTCTGAAAAAGAACACTCTGAACCTTCAGCCCAACATGGGAGCTCTCACTGCATCCCATAGCTGTGAGCTGTGTGCCCATAAACATTCCAGCAGATCTGCAGGGCTGCCCTGCTGAATGCTCCACAAAGCTGGAATTGTTTCATAAATCCACAGGTCTGGGATATCCTCACTGCTCACCTCAGACCAGCCCTGTTTCCAACTCAACAGGTGCAAATTAGTCACACCTTGGGGTTTTTTCTTACCTATGGTATTTTGGGACAAGAGTTTTTCCTTTGAGTTTTCTGTTGTTGGTCTCAGCAGCTCTGAGTGCCCTCGGTGTGCCAGCAAGGAGCACAGGGCTGAGACCTTGCTTTCAGTGCAAAAAATCCCTGAAATCAGCACATGCACTCATGAAAATTATGATTAATGTGAAAGCTCATCCTTTTCCTCTGTCTGAGTGGTTCCTCTGCTCCCCATGATTTCTGGGGGAAGTGGATGAGTTCCTGTCTGCTCCAGGCAGGTGGATGGGGCAGCACTGGTATCTCCCACAGTGCCAGGACTGCCTGTGCCTCAATAAATCCCTTTGGAAAGGGCACAGCAAAGGCAGACCTGCCATCCTGAGCCCCTCTCAGTGCACACGGCAGAGCTGCCACGTTCTGACTCCTTGCACAGATCTCACAGTGACACAGTCACTTCTCAGGCACACTGAACGGGCTGGCCCATGTCCTTATATATATTTATTTATTTTTTTAATAACCAAGTTGTTCAGCATTGGTCTTTCCATTTTTGTTGTAAATTTTTAATTGATGACTCACTCTCAGGCCCCACGCTCTCACAGCTCTGAGGCTCATGGCCATACCCTTACATTATTTACTTCATCTGTAAATGTTTTATCAACATCCAAACACATCATGTTGTGTCCTGAGGATCTCAGTGTGTTTCAGTGATCTCTTTGGCAATGAGTTCCTCTGGTTGTGTTAAAGAAAAAGTCTTTCTTTTGTTCCATTTTAAATTTGGTCTTATATTGCCAGACCCCAGCTATCAAGATGTGATGAAATAAATATTGGAGGAAAAGTTTGTTCTTCTAACAAATTGTCTTTCTCTTAAAGACTATGACACATTTAAAGGTGTTACATGTTCTATGAGTGAGTTATTTGCAGCTAGAACTGACAGCTGAGAAGGGAAAAAAAAATAATCCACCTTTTCAAGGAAACCTCTGTGCTTTCAATTCTGCAAGAGCTGGGGAACTTGGAGTATTTTTATGTGCAGAAAAATGATCTGAGAGTTTCATGAGCTTTGTTTAAGACCTGTGTCTTTAAATTCAGAATATCCCGAGCCCAGGGCAATACAGGAAAGTGAATCTCCAAAACAGGTTCAATTAAGATGTTGTTAGGGAGGAGAGGGTGGTGTAATTTTTGTCTCTGTTTCCCCAGTTCCATCTTTTCCTTTCTGGCACATACAAAGCTGTCTCTCACTCCTGGAGCTCACCCATGACTGACTGGGTAGACTTAAACCCATTTCTTGTGTTCAGACTTTCCAGATGTATCCAATAAATACCACATCACAGAGGAAAGTATTTTATCTCACTTCTTCATGTAGACAATGTACACAGATGAATATTTTGTTTTTGCACACTCTTTCATGCACTAAGATAAGATGCCTGTGAGTTCCAGTAATGACATCAGTAATAGAACAGGATTATTGACCAAGCTTTCATATAAAGATTTTAATATCCTGGGAAATCTGAGCTATATCCCTTTGAAAGTTTGGTATTTTAAACAAAGTTTATGGGATATTGGGCCTTAAGATGTGTAGAGCTGGATATACCAAAAAGATAATATAGATAATTTGAATTAGGAAATACATGGGTTAAGCACTTAAGTGAAGTTTTACCCAAATCTCCCACAATACCCAAGATATTTTGGTCTTAAGAAAAAAGAAAAAGCAGGACCCTGAGCTAACTTGAAATGCCATGTGCCTTAAACAGTCACAGAAATTTGTGGGGTATTTGGAGGTTTCCTTTGTGCTCATTTTGAATGATCTTCAGGAGATCACTCGTGTCTTTCTAAGTCACAGGTAATAAAGCCATCTGTCACAACGCTGACACTAGACCCCCCCTGCGGGTGGATTCTGAGTCATAGGAAGCAGAAAATTGTCTGTACTCATTTCCCAGTGTTGAAACTGGACCCTGCAAAGAGCCAGAGGAGTCAGTAATCTAAAGTGGGATTGCAAACTTTGCTCTCTCTCATTTGGACTCTGCCAGCACCCACGGCTGTGCTGTCAGGTACTACAGAGCACCCTGGAATTGCCTGTTACATAATGCAGATGATGCTTTGTTATGTCAGGCATTTCTGAGCATCACTGACTGTTCCAGCAGAGCTGCAGCCCCTGTGCAGCTCTCACAGGAGGGAAGGTGACCCGAGATCTGCCCCTGCCCGCAGCAGGAACTGTCACTGCTGAAAGCAGCCCCTCCAGGGGTCAAATCAGCCACCAGTCTGTAGGGTAGGAAAGAAATTAAACCTCTCTTTTCTTAGAGAGAGGCATCAGAATAACGCCAGGTAAAGGCAGAGGGGCAGGTTACTCACAGCAAGGTGCCTGCACAGCTCTGTCTGCCCTGGAGAAAGGAAACATCATTCCCACAGCCCCACTGAATCCATCCCGCAGTGAGAGGATCACAAAATGCACAAACACCCTCAAATCAACCTCAACCAGAAAAAATGCAGAGGAGGAGAAGCAACACTGAGATTTTTGCCCTTTTACTAAACTTTGCTGTGCAGTCCAGGCATACTTTTAGCATTAGGCAAAACGAATGGGGTTTCAAACAGCCCTGGTGGGTTTATGGCACTTTCCTGGGAGTAACCACCACATCTCCTCATGCTGAAGGAACTAAGGCAGTCGAGGCACAGTTCATCAACCAGACAGCACGTAGGGCTGGAGGGTTTTTTTTCCTCAGTGTGACTTGGTGAGTAAAGGAAGATTTATACCTGTATTTCTCAAGAACGGCGACAAGACTTGCCCAAAGTTCTGCTCTGCATTCTTGGTCAAGAGACAGCTCAAACAGCTTAACAGGAGAATTCTGAGCAAATGTTTCTGTTCCTCTAAAATGTGCTGCCCTGCCCTGATCCTTCCAGACTTATTTGTCTTAGCCTCAGGCATCCCCAAGCCATGACCTGTGTTTGAGGACAGCCACATGTGCTCTGAGCCCTGCAGCTCTGCTCCTGGCTGCCTGCAAATGGAGAAAATTGGAGCAGGGATGCTCAGATGGGATGTGTGGCATGGGACTGCCCTCTCTGTCTGCTCTCCTCTCCTCCAGGCAGATTTCTTCCCTGTGTCACACACCACGCCTGCATCCCTTCCACATCTATACATTGATTATTCATGCAAGATTTATGGCTTGTGCATAATCCCTGGTGTGACTTTTGCACACATTCCTCTCTCTGTTTGGTTCTTGCCTTCCAGCCCACAATCCTGCCAGTCCCTGGGGACTTTTCTTCTCTTGTCTTGAGGCACAAGGGACTTGCCTAAAATCTCTCATTTGAAATGAGCTTTGTACATCCCTTGTTTGTCACATTAACGTTGCTACTGAATTCTCTCTCACTTAAGGTTTAAGTACAGGCATTCGAGCACATGAATTTTGCAGATGTAATTCCCTTAAGGATTCTGCCTTCAGGAATGATAAAGTTCCAGAGAGCACAGCAAAGGGGGAACTTCTGGGAAAAGGAGCAGCAGGCAGCGCTCAGCTTCCCTTCCAAACTCCAAGGGACATGTGCAGCCTCCTCCCTCTCAGGGATCCAGCAACGGGGTTTGGGGGCTGACAGTGCCCAAAATATGCAAAGCTATCGACCACTAAATCCACCTTCAGAGACAAAGGGCAGAGATCCGATCGCTGTCTCAAAGGACAGTGCATGCTTGGCCAAAACTGCCTGTTCATTTGCTCTCCCCCCCAAAACAAGTCCTTAAGCCTAACAAAAAATGAGTCCTGCAATCAGAGAATTAAACACAAGTGAAAAGAAACATGCAGAATAGAAACCTGCCGAGGGGATGTTCGTTTTGTCCCCCTCCCCATCCCCTGCTGTGAGACAGATTAGTCTCTGTTTACCAGGACACCGAGCCCCCTCCTCACAGGTAGCTTACCTGGGGTGGATGTCCACAAGCAGCACCAGGGTCTGCATAGTGATCACGTCGATCCGCTTACAGTGGAACCGTGCCACCTTCAGCACTTTGAGATATGTGAAACACAGGACCACGAGGGACAGCAGGAAGCTGAGGGCGTGAAAGACCCCAGTGAAAATCACAAACTGTGTCCTGTCCTCTGGTCTCTTGTTGTAGAGCGTGCAGGAGGCGTAGAGGTGATGGAAACCCAGCCAGGAGAGAGAAGCTGCCACGATGGGGAAGGATGCTGAGTGCAACCACGTGTAGCTCAGAATGAGAGCAGCGTCTCGGTACCTCATCTTGGAGTGATAACTTAGAGGGAAGACCACAGCGATCCACCTGTCAATGCTCAGAGCTGCCATGCTCAGCATGGAGTTGGTGGTGAGGAAAGTCTCCAGGAAGCCCACAACGTGGCAGACCTGATCTCCTCCCGGCTGACTTTTGTAAATGATCCCAGCCAAGGTCAGGGGCATGCTCGACACGGCCATCAACAGGTTGCAGAAGGTGAGGTTGAGGATGAACAATCCCGGGACCTGCTTGCGGATGTCGGCGCTGTACAGGAAGCACATCAGCACCAGCACGTTGGCCAGCAGGGCCACGAGCATCAGCAGCACCACCACGAAAGCCAGGAGCAGCTCCCAGATGCTCATGGTGCGTGCAGTCACAGCAGGGACATCTCCGAAACTGCGCCGTGCCCGCTCCGGGGGACCATGGTGTGAGGTGGCCCCAGCTCGCCCTCCTCCCCAGCCTGCTGGCCCCCCTGCATGCCCTCCGTGCTTTTGGAGGAGCCGCAGTTTTCTCCTCCAACCTCCCCCTCCTCGCTGCTCCTTTCCACGTCAACGCTTCCCCGAGACGTGCACAAAAGCACTGGGAATGCCCATCAAACTGCAAGGAGGGCTTAAAAAATAGCAGCGGGGCTGAACCACTGCCTGCCGTCGGTCCATTTGGGGCAGAGCACGTTATTCTGAGACGCTGCTCTCCTGAGATCCCCAGTTATCAGCCCCAAGCTTGCGAGCAATCCACCGAGTGAATTGTGCTCTTTCTCCCTTGCTTTCTGCCTCCCTCTCTCCCTCTCTGGCTTTCTCTCCCCTCCCCTCTCCTCCAACCCTCACTCCCTTCCAGGCTGAATGTAACCTGCTTTTTATGATCACAGATAAAAACCCCATTAATGGATTAAAGCATGCACACTGCTGGTGATTCGCAAACGTGATTATGTCATCCCTGCTCCACAACCCCTCCCCTCCTCCTTGCGACCGTGACTAGACTTTCCCCAAGAGAAACCCCATGCTTTCATTTAATTCATTTAGCCATTAATTTGCAAACAAGCCTTGTAACCGAATCCCTGCACTCCAGCGTGTTCCCTACATTTCGGTGCATCACTTGCAGCGCTGCTGTTGCTTGCTCTCAGCCAGGGCAGGGGCTCTCTTTTCTCTTCATTATCTGTGCTTAAAGAGATGGGGGAAATGGATATATTCTGCTACGGGAATGGTTTTACTGCTCGGGCTCAGCACTTTGCAGTTCGTTGTCTCCAAATACCATGCGGAGGAGGAAACTGATTGCTTCCCCTCCTTTAAAAGCAGGGAAATCCAAGCCCAGATGCCAGAGCCACATGCCCAAGGTCACAGAGCAGGTGAGGGGCAAAGGCAGCATCGTGCTGCAGGTGCCTTTATTCACTCAGCCTTTCTCCTCTCCAGGAGTTTCTCCTTCCTCCTAATCAAAGCCTCCCTCCCTGTGAGGGTGAGCACCCTGTGAGATCCAAACTAAAAAGCAGCTTGGCAAAGGAAATAAGAATGAGTCTGACTTACACATAATTAGGTGTCAAAATTAAGTTTGTTTTAAAGGATGGAGCGGGAGCTGTTTTCTCATTGCTTTTCCCGTCTCTTTAAATCAGTTTTAACTGGGCAGGCTGAGTTTGTGAGCAATCAGGACAGCTTTCTGATCAAGGCAGCCAGGCTTTAATCCCTGCACAATAAGAAAGCAAAAGATACCCTGCAGCACAGTTATTGGGGCTTAGTAAGTGGCTCTGCACGTGTAGGAGAGCTGGATGCTCGGGCAGTTTTTCCTTGGAGCCCTCCAGAGCTGAGCATCTCCACGAGCAGCAGCTGTTCACTGCAGCTCAGGAGCAGAGCTGGCACCCTGCATGCTGCCAGAGTTTGGCATGTTGGAGAAAAAGCCTCTTTCACTTCAGTTTTGGTTTGTTTTGTTTGCAAAAGACAGGCTTTAAAGGGCTGATAGAGTCATCAAAGGAGCAGCTCAGGGTGCAGAGTCCAGACCTGAGAGCTCCCTGTTTGCAGAACGTGCTGAGGGGATCAGGACAGAACTACAGTGTCTGTCTTTTTTCCAAAATCAGTGAAGTGATGGAGCAACCATCCCTGGAAATGTTCAAAAAAATGTGTGGATGTGGCATTTGAGGACGTGGCTTAGTAGTGAACGTGGTGGTGGTATTTGGTTGATGGCTGGACTTGATGATCTTAGAGGGATTTTCCAACTTTAGATTCTATGAGAAAAACTTAAAGGTGACCCCTTCTTTAAATACAGGGGGTTGTTACACTCCTAGAAGAGGTGAATTAAGGAAGTGAGGGAGAAGATGAAGGTTTTGCTGCTGCTTCACAGCAGCAAAGTTTCCTCCTTGGGTAGGAAGCAACAGCCCTGCTGAGAGGGGTCTCCTGGCATCAACAGCCTGAGCAGGGTGTCCTAGGGACAGTCAGGGACAGCTTAAAGCCTTGAAGCTCAGCAGGCAAAGGCAGCCTCGGGACTAAAGGAAGGTGCTGTGTGAGCTGGGAGTCACTGTGAAGAAAAATGTGGGAAAACTTGCTAGGAAGAACGGGGGGAAAGCATGGGAAATCCTGTGATCCATAGATGAGAGACAGGTACTCTGTGACTGTGGTCAAAGGGAAAGTCACCCCCAGCTGGCATCAAGGTGATTCCTGACTCTTTTTCCCACACTCAGCCTCCTCCTGGGCTCAAATGAGCCCTGCAAGGCCCCCAGCTGCACAAGGACTGGGGAATTCAGGATTTTTCCCCTGCCTTCAATGTACGAGGCCATGGGTTTATCAGGGTGGGTTCCTGACACAGCATGCTGTTATCCCTTCAGTGAGCTGTGGTGCCTCCAGGATTGAAAAGCTCTGCTCCTGAGTAATTCCCTGCTGTTACGGGGGTCTGGCATCAGTGTTGAGCCTGGGTGAACAGTGGGGGAGGAAATTCATGCCCGGAGAAAAAGGATTAGGATGACAGTCAGGAAAAGAGGATTCTCCCTAAGCAATAGATGTGAAATAATGGGAGGCAGATGAGAGTTCAGTTGTGATGGAATATGGAAGGTTAGATCTGGGGGGAAATCTACAATCAAGGGGAAAACCTTTGTAGATATCAGGAGGAAGCTGAAGTTTTCTCTCAGTGAGTAATTTGAGTCTCGGTGCATATTTTGTATTCTGAAGGCCCAAGTGATTTACATAACTAATTCCCCTGTTGGTAATCCCTGCAGCAGAGGGGTTTGCTGAACATTTCTGGGTTTGTTTATTTATTGTGTGTACCCAAGGGAGCACGATGGACCCATGAAATGGCTTCATTTCCTACGAATCAGGAGGAGAGGATCTGCTGGGCATCTGTCGAGGGTTAACCCCAGCTGGCGACTGAGCACGGCTCAGTCACTCCCCCTTCCCCAGGGGATGGAATCCCGGGATGGAATCCTGGGATGGAATCACAGAGTCATTTGGAGTCATTTAGAACAGACTCTAAGACCACCAAGTCCAAGGAAAACAAGGAAGCTCTTTAGGCACTCGGGTGGGTTAAATTTGCTCTCTCTTCAGCCAGTGCTATGCAAATCCTTGGCAGGGTTGCTTGATGGAGACAGAAGCCACAGGTCTGTCTCTCTTTGGGGTGTCAGAGGTGACCTTTACACCTCCCCTGTCACCTTCACTGACCAAAAATTAATTGACTTCAGCCTTTACTCTCCCTAGCCCCAGATAACGAGCATCACCCAGTGGATTCTTGCCTGGTTCCCTGTGTGGCACACTGGGACTAACTGGGAGCTCCTGGCCAGCCAGATGGGCCACCACCGGGGATGTGGGGAGAGAAAGCCTCCAGTGCTTCAGCCCTGGAGCTGAGAGTGCCAGGACAGCTCCACAGCTGCTCCCCAGAGCCCTCCTGGTGAATTATTCACACTCGGGCTGTCACCACTGCTTGGCTCCATGGAACTAAAGAAACATCAGGTCCACAGGCACGTGGCTGGTGCTCCTGGCACTTCTGCCTGCTGGATGGTTCTTTAAGGACTCTTAGGGCAGCTAAGGAAATCAAACAAGCCAGGAAGAGCAGAAAGCCATGGGAAGCTTTGAGTCAGGGAGGTTTGTGGGTGGATGTGTGTGTAGGTGGATGGCAGAACTCTCTCCTTCCCTGAGCTCCTTTGGAGCCAGGTGAGAGCTTCCTTCCTGGGGACCAATTAGGGGATGAGCAAGCTCAGTGTCTTGGTCCCTCTGTGTTATTCTGGCAAAGGCAGGATGTTAAATGACATATTCCAGCACGGGCTCTGGTTCACAATTCATATTTTAGAATCAGTCCCTATCAGCACCATCAGTGATGCAGATATTGAGTCACACTTCATATGGAGCTCTGTAAGAACAGCATTCTTTTAAAGGAGAGAGTGCGTGGATGTACCTGCTTCATTTGGTTTACCTCAGAGACAAAAAGGGGGGCTCAAAATAGAGCTTGGGCATTAGATTTTAATTGCACTGCCACTTCTCACCCCAGGAAATATTTATTAACAAAAAGTAATTAGCTACATTTTAATGCTTTTAAAGATATAAGAGACTTCTAGTTTGGTTTTCTGGGTTGGTTTTTTTTTTTTTTTTTTTTTTTTGTTCTCAGTCTATTTTTACTCCTCGCCTCTTGCTTAATGCTAATGAATAAAAGAGTAACTAATGGGAAAATTAACATCTTTGAGGGATGTTGAAAAACTCCAATTAAACAAACAAAATCGCATCTTATTTAAATGGAATTAAGTTAGTATATCCATAATATTGCAGCCTGTAGAATTATTCAGCACACACCAACACCCTTTCTGTTTCAACCTTTTCTAGAAAGAATGATTTCCATCCTCCAGGAACTGTTGAAATATTATTATAGAATCTTAGAGTGGTTTGGGTTGGAAGGGACCTTAAATCCCATCCAGTTCCACCCTGCCATGGCAGGGACACCTCCCACTGTCCCAGGCTGCTCCAACCCCAATGTCCAACCTGGCCTTGGGCACTGCCAGGGATCCAGGGGCAGCCACAGCAAATCTGGGCACCCTGTGCCAGTTTCCCATTTCCCTTTCTCTCTGGGATGCTTTTTGCAGCAGCTGAAAGAGAATTGTCTTTGCATTTAGAGCTGCTTTGTGAATTGATGTAGCAGCCTGAGCTTTGCTTTGCCTTGGGAAGTTTGTTCTTGTTTGGGGGACCTGGAAAGGGCTTAAAGGGATTTAGGGACCTGTATCCAAGTGGAAAGGTGATGGAACTGGAAGGTTTTATTCAGAAAAAGGAATTAAGCTCGGGGTGACCTCTCATAATGTCACCTATGATGTGCTGTCACTGTGGGATTTAAACTGTTCTGGACAAAGATATTTGAAATGCAGACAAAGAAGGAAGACAGTTGCTAATTTAAAGTCCCCAAATATTCT